AATGTACCCAGCAATGATTTTAAAATCATAAATTGTAAGATGTTTCAGTCATGCTCACCACCATGGATAACACACACATGCCTCGACTCTCAGTCCCCATGACTGACACTGTGCAGCGCTCTCCCCTCTGGGCAGCCACACTGCATGTTGGTCCTTCCTCCATCCTCACCTCCCTCAGCAGTTACCTATTTACAGGGCTCAGGTGGTCGTGACTTAGGAGAGTGGATTCCACATGGCTGGTACCCAGGGGCCTCCCACCTCATCTTTAGGGCTGACATCTGTGTACACTCAGGTAGGGACTTCCTAATAGACACAACCATGGTGAGAAGAAACACAGGATGGGGCCCACTGAACTGGAGCCATCAAGCAGAAAGGCTGGAGGCACAGGTGTGACCTTGGAGGCTCAAAACATAGAACAGACTGGCAAAATAGGTGAGCCTCTCACAAACTCTAAGATTGTCCTACCAATGATGGTGGAATAAAAAGTTTGGGAAATAAACATCAAATAATGCTTTTCAGTAATTTTTAGTAAAAAAGAAGTTTTAAAGAAGAGTGAAATTATGGCATTTGCCAGTAAACGGATGGAGTTGGAGAATATCATGCTACGTGAAATAAGCCAATCTCACAAAACCAAAGGCTGAATGTTACTTCTAATATATGGATGCTAATTCACAATAAGGTGAGGGGGTGGGGGGCACTAGGGATGAATAGTGTTACCTTAGATTAGGTAGAGGGAAGTGATGGGAGGGAAGGAGAGAGGGTGTGGGGATAGGAAAGATATTAGGATGCAACAGATATTATTACTATATGTATGTATGTGGCTGCATGACCAATGTGATTGTGCAACAAGTACACTCAGAAAAATGAGAAATTATATCTCATCTATGTGTGATCTATTAAAGTGCATAAATACATTCTACTATCATATATAATTAATTACAACAAATTAAAAAAATAATTTAAAAAAGAAGTTTGTCAGTGATTAAAACAAATTTTAAAAAAAGAAGATTATTTATTTTATTGATTTCCTCTATTTATTCTTAGAAAATAGTACCTTCTTAAAGCCACATTCATTATGGTCAATTTAAATTACAAAAAAAGAAAAAAAACTTGCCATTATTACCATTCTCAAATGCAAAGCTCAGTGGCATTAAATATAGGTATAGTTGCCAAAACATCACTATCCTCTATCTCCACCATTCCTTATCTTAAAAAAGTGGAACTTTCTTTCCAATGTAAAAAAGTTCCAAACATCCCTTGCCAACAGGAGTTCCAACCATTCTACTGTAAAATTTGGTGAGAAATTAGCATAAGGCACATCTGAACAGGACCAGGTATGTAACGTTGCTGCATTTTCCAACACATATTGTAACCAGTACCAGGAAAGCTGGGATTAGATTGCCCTGCTGTGAAGCTTCCAAAGAGCACCTTTGATATCCTTGTTCCTCAGGCTGTAGATAAAGGGGTTCAGCATGGGGGTGACCACAGTGTACATTACTGAGGACACCACATTCTCTCTATGAGAATGTGATACAGCCGATCCAAAGTACACTGCAGTACCTGTTCCTAAAAATAGGCAAAAAACTGCCAGGTGAGAGCCACAGGTAGAGAAGGCTTTGTACTTCCCACCTGAGGATGGGATCCTCAGAATGGAGGAAATTATTTTATAGTAAGAGAAAAGGATCCCTGAGATGGGGAAAAAGCTATATAGGCCAAAAAGAACATACTTGCCAATATTAATAGAGTAGGTGTCAGAACAGGAAAGATTCAGAAGTTGAGAAGGGTCACAGAAGAAACTGGAAATTTCCACATCCTTGAAGCTAGTAATTTGTAAGATCATCAAATTGTGCAGCTGAGAGTCCAAGAGACTCAGCAAAAATGATACCAAAATTGAGAAGCCACAGAGGCGAGGGTTCATAATGACTGTATAATGCAGGGGATGACAGATGGCCACAAACCTGTCATAGGCCATCACAGTCAGAAGCATATAACCCATACAAATAAAAATGGCATAAAAGGACATCTGTGTCAGACAGCCCATGTAGGAGACGACATCATTGTGAGTCTGAATGTTTACAATCATGTTTGGGACGGTGGTAGAGATGAAGCCGATGTCAGCCAAGGACAGGTTGGAGAGGAAGAAGTACATGGGGGTGTGTAGGTGGGGGTCAGAGCTGACAGCCAGGATGATGAGCAGGTTCCCAAGCACTGTGACCAGGTACATGGACAGGAACAGTCCAAAGAGGAGGGGCTGCAGATCTGGGTCCTCTGAGAGGCTCATGAGATGGAATTCAGAGACATGGGTTAGATTTTGTTCTTGTAGGTATGTTGGACACCTTTGGAAAAAAGGCAAAAAAGGTGTTAAAAAAGAAATACGAAAAACAGGCTCTCTTCATTCTGGAAACATTTGAATTAAAGTCTGCACAAGGAAGGAGCTCACACTTTAGATCCATACACTTTCAACAATAGCTGTCAGTAGTGAAGCTCCCAGTCTCTACATATTCTTTCTTATCACCTTCTCCATCATTCACCCCTCTTCCTATACTCACCTAAGAAGCATTGAGCTGAGAAGTGTTAAAAGTCCAGGAGCAGAGAAGAAGTCCATGATCAACCCATATAATTTAAGCCGAATATCTGTTATATAAATGACCCTACTTTTTTTTTCTTTTTCTTGATTCTGTACTCTATCTGGCCTGCCAAATGTGCTTCATAGTTTTTGTTTTTTTTATCTCAAACCATCAAGTACATTGTTTATGATCTAGCACCAAGGAAGGCCCCCAAACTCAAGTTTTATTTCCATTCTCAGTCCTTCTTCATGGGTTCTCTGGTCAGCCATTCCTGACACATTGATTTCAATTCTCCTGTTTAGGCTACCTGAAGTACACTTGGGTTCATTATTTATCATTTCTCTATGTGAAATAATTGGATACAGTACAAAACAGAGTATAACAAGTAAAAATGTAACAACTTCTTGGAAACACCCTCATTTGTAAAGTGGAGGTAGTAATTACCTACCTTGTATGATTGTCATGAGGAAATTAAAAAAAAAAACTTTCAAGTGGCATAACTCGTAGTTCTCTCCCATTATTAAATCTACCTGTTTATATTTTAGAATATCCATACACAGTGATGTCAGACTAATACCAATTATATCAGCATATCCACAAGTGAAGTTCTCAGTGGTTCTTTCTTACACCAGATCTGAAATCCTATGTCTAACAATATCCTGCCATATAGAACACTCTTCATGAATATTACCTACTCTTATTGTCCATAATTCCCATCACCTATATTGAAACATATAAATCTGATAATAATTGTGCCAGGACTAACATTGGATAGACATCTGAAACATTACCTAAGAAATTTGAGTCTTAATATCTCTATCTGATTCCATTTTCCTGCAAATCTGTTCCCCAAACATACTTATTGTTATGAAATGCAGAGGTGTAATTATCTGCTTGTGTTTTCATGTCAGAAACATCTATCAAACACTTTTATTTCACACATTTACCTAAAACATAGGTTAAAAAAATTATCTAATTAATTTGGAAAACAATGCCCATTGGCCATGAAATCTACAAGTTTACATTAACCTGAGCTTTTAATTTCTCAATGAAGTACATTTTTCTTCTGCAAAGTCTTTTCTGGTGCAAAGTGATAGAAAGGACATCATGGTTTAATTCAGTAGTATATTAGTATGACAATCATTTCAAAGCAGTCTCCCTGCCACTTAAATAACAGTGTCTGGATAATATGTTGTCAGGACTTGATTGGTTGATTTCCAGTGCAAAAGCTGTGTCCAAATTTACTCTTAATGACCTACATTTAGGTACCTACAAGAACAGTCACTATCACCTACATCTTCTCAATCCTAATATGTATCATGGAAATGCAATTTCACCCTAACTAGGAATATTCTTCCTTGATGACTCCTGAAGAAGTTTGGTCTTATGCAGGAAATACTCTTTACTATGTCTCCAACAGAAGAGCCAAGGCCTAGGCTGGAGTCAGGCAGGCAACATTTCAGACCTGCATCACCTGCCAGTTTGTGCACAGTGTGTGAATCTCTCCTCCTCTCCTTGCTCACTGCTTAAGGGAAACACAGATTATAACACCATCTCCACAACATGTGCAACATTGGGAACCCAATGAATATTTGGAAATTGTTATTTTAGTAAAAAAAAATCTCATAATTACATAAGTATTAACATTATGGAGGAAAGCCATGGTCAAGGGCACTGGAGGCCGGAATGAAGTGAGACCCTGACGAAGGTCTCAGTGGAAGGCTGTAGTGTTAGGTGCCCCTTCAGCTTCTGCCTTGTTGCTTTTCTTCAAATCCATGAAAATCTCTGCCATGGTTTCTGAATACTTGCCTACTGTGGATGAAACTAAATAAAAGTAAAGTGTCCCTATGACCAAAACATGGACACAAAGGACACTGTTTGAACTTGTCTATTCCCATGGACACTGCTGGAAGGAATGAAAGGACAGTCAGGAGGCCACAGTCTGTTCATCCAAATTCGTTTTGGTCAATATATGGAAAAGGGTGGGGTGCTTCAATTCTCAACAGACTTGCTCAAGACGTCGCCCTGTGCCAAGCAGAACTCAGGCTCCAGGGTGTAAGAAATGGAAGAAAGGAAGCCGTTCCTCCCAAATGCACTGCACATGCATCTGTAAGGGCAAACATAAAGTGTCCCATCCAGAAACAGGAAAACGGTCACTTCAGGTCACTGGACATATTAGTTGAGTGGAATGAAGATTAACCTATCAGGACTAACAGTACCAATAATACCCAGATTTATTATGCCCTCATTTTATTCCCATATCCCATATTATTCACATAAAAGGACCAAGTATCTATTTATCCTTACTCACTATAGTTGCATCAATGGGAAATAAATTCAGATGACAGGGCTGGGTCTAGGCACCAGTGAAACCAGGGACTGCTTTACAGACACAGTGACTGGGCTGAAAGACTCTGGAAGGGATTGATTTAATTATTTAACTCTTTCCCACCTAACAGTGTTCAGTATGGGCCCAGACATTTTCTCTGTTAGTAAACATGAGGTACATTTTTTAAATATTTCCAGTATTTGGGGGGAAATAAAATCAAACCTGACCTTAGTTTTGCTTTGAGATTGACAGGGCTGTTTTCAAGCATGGAGGAGCATGGAGGGAGCTCCACAGAGGTTCTGGAGGGGCCCCAAGATTGTGATCTAATCTGAATGACCATCAGCTTCCCCCATTGTGACCTGTGATGTGTGGATGTCCTTCTATTGTGCATGCACCAGGAGCCCCACTGTTCTGCCCTGTGATCCCCAGGATTCCCAAGAGGAAGAGCACCATGGGCAAGGCTCTCTTTCTGCAGGACAGGGACGAGGAGTGGCTGGTTGACCTCCTGATGGTACAGCCTGCCAGGGTTCTCCTGTGATGCCCTGTGTCCATGGCCAGACAGCCCAGTGCAAACATGGCTGCACCCTTTCCCACCTAACAAAGGAGTACAAGTTACAAAAGTATAACACACGGCTTCATTTTCTATAAAATAATAATAATGTGGACACATATAACTAAAGTAGCATGGTGTTTATGAAAAGGAAAAAAAAGGTAGTTGGTGAGCACCTGAGCCTGGGAAGCCCTGCACTTTCTGTCATCCTCATCATCATCTTATCACCACCATCACAGTCCTTTCTCAGAAGTTAAGAAGCACTTCTGAAGGATTCATTTTGTGCTGTTGTGGGGGAGATTTCTGTGAGAATCAGAATCAGTGTGGGTGGAGAGCACAGTTTGAATAAGATTTCTCATCTCCCCCCTGAAACAAAAGCTTGAACCCCACAACCCCAAGTTGAACATGCATGTGGTGTCCTCCCATATGGCTACGCTGTGGTGTTTGTCCCTGTGCTGAGGTAACACTACTTCCCCACTCCTTCCCACTTCCGTGGCCCACTCTGTACTTACTGGGTCACGCTGCTTCCCTGCAGGGTCATGACCAAGAAGTGCAGATCCTAAGGCCCTACCAAGTGTGGAGCCCAGGGACGGAGCAACTGTGTCCACAGGAAGAGATTGTGTGCTCAGGAGCTTCCTGATGCAGAAAATCCCAGGAGGAGACACAGCCATGCAGCTCACTGGACAAGAACCATCCACTAAAGGGCAGCAGGCACAGGCTAATTGGGCACTAATATAGGACCTTGGAAGATCAATACACAGAGCTTGCAATTAGACTAATTGGTCCATGAAATCCCCATCTCTAAGGACTCCCCGTCATTAATGGGGAAGACAAATGAAATTCAACGTCCACATAAGTTTCTGGCCCTAACTCTAACTAGTAAAAAGTCTGCATATTCTATTTATTTTCTTTCATTTCTGTGTTCCTTAAAGAGAAATCTGTGATCAATGTTCATTTTATTGCGATAAAATGCCAATGCAAACAAATATCATTTGAACCACATTAAGTACACTCTTTAGTGACAAAATTGCAATCACATTGTTGTGCCATTATCACCATCATCCAAATCCAGATATTTTCTATTTTCTAAAATTTAAACTTTGTAGCCAGGTGTAAAAAAAAATTCACCATTTCTCCCACCCCACCCCAGCAACCACCACTCTATTGTGAAGCATGTTGAGGAGAGAATCATCCAAACAAATCATGCTCAGGGAGGAGGCATTTCCACAACTAGATTTAATTCTGTTCTGTTTTCCAGCCTGCATTGCCATCAGGTGCCTTGGGCCCTGAGAACAACCTGTTCTGCTGGCAGCCTCCTTGATGGTGGTGCAAGGACTCTGTTTCTCTGGCTCAACTGAAGTATTCATAGTACAAGAGCCCAATGCACAACCACAGAGGCCACTGCCCCTTCTAGGCAAATGCAGCATACTTGAACCAAGATGCAATCCAAAAGTAAGTAAAACACCTCTTTGTTATTGAAACTTTATGAGAAAAGGCAAGATTAAGGAGAAAATATTCTCAGAAGAAATCAGAATTTTCAATATTCTTATAATGAGTATTAGGAAGGCAATTAACTATTGCAGTTGGCATCCAACACTGACCAAAGATGACATCCAAATTACAACCAAGCACTGAGGTATCAGGAGGACTGAACAATTCAAGGAGATGCAGAGGACCTTAGTCTAATCATATACCATCACAGTCAGAAGCTCAGGAAGTATTCTTACTAATAATTGACTATTTTATTTCTTTTTAAAAATTTTTTTATTATTTGCTCAAAACATTACAATGATCTTGACATATCATACATTTGATTCAAATGGGGTACGTAATCTTAATCTTATTTTTCCACGGGTACAGACTGCAGGATCACATTGGTTATACAGCCACGTTTATACATAGGGCCATACTAGTGTCTATTGTACTGTGCTGCTCTTCCTATCCCCCTTCCCCTCCCCTCCCTTCTTTCTACCCAATCTACTGTGACACACTTCTCTCTCTCTTT